GCGAAGGTGCCAGCGGGAAAAGTCGAAGAAAGTACGAGCTCCGCCCCTGCCCGCTTCCTGAGCTCAGTGCCTCGCTCTTCTTTTCCTTTTCCACCCTTCCCGGCCACGATCTCTGCACTGGCCATCTCTTCCCATCACAACAACAAGTCCATCCACCTTTTGTGCACACTCACAGCGCCGGCTCGCTTCTCTGCCATCTCTTGCTTTTCCGCTATCTCCCGCTTCCCTGCCATCTCTCAGAGAGAGTGAGTGAGACGAAGAGGAAGCATTCGCACTGCACATGATGTGCGTGGGCAGAGCAGATACACGTGCGTGGGATCGGGCCGGGGGGGAACGCGGGAATTGGTCGAGACTGATCGACGCAGCCAGCACGAGGTGACGGTTTTTGATAGAGCAATGTGGAAGTTGCAAAGTAACGCAGCAAGGGAGGAGAATGTGGCGAATGCAACGGATGTGAATAGAGCTTCAAAAAATCATGCATTTTTTTGCCGAATTAATTCACAAAAAAGAGCAGGAGCAATTCCGGCGGGATGAAGCCAGGCGAGCGAGACGCGAAGTCGGACTGGTCCAGAGGGATACGCTCGAAAGAGCGGCGTCCACCGATGAAGGGTCGCCCGGATGGCCAACGAACGCAACGTCGACGACAGCCAGCCAGCGACGATCGATAGCGGCCGCGAAAACAGGCAGTTTGTGCAGGCAGCAGCAGCAGCACCCAACCCAGCCATGCAGCGATGGGAGGCCGCGTCGCGCCGCGCCGTGCCGACCTCCTTCTCGGCCAACCGACCGCGCAGCAGCACGCCGAACGCACATAGTGAGAAGCAGCCAGTGCGATCCGGGCACCCCGAGCCACAGCTCCAACTCGTCCCAGCCGCACGCAACGTGAACCGCCGCTAAGCCGATGGCCAACGAAACAGCAACACCTAACCCTTACGAGATACTTGCAAGAATGTGATGGGGCACCGTGGCATATGGTTCTGAAGCCCCTGAGACACATCAGTGGCATGCCAGCCCCACCCCTCCCCCCTCCCGCCCCAGTCACGGCGGAATCCCCGAAACCAAGCACCTCCAATGCACAGACAGAACCGACCAGAAAACAAAACTTCCACTACCCAATATGCGAACAGAGCCAAATTATCAGGACAGACAGACAGA